TTAAGGGTATAACTCAGTGGTACAGTGCCCCTGGGTTCAATCCCTAATACCAAAAATTGATAAATGAAATAGGGAGGTTATGAAGGAAGGGTCCTTACATGCGATTGCTTGATATAACTATTGCAAAAGACTCTGCTGGAACCACTAGCTTGCAGAGTCCATCATGACCTTGGACAAAAAGTAATTCTACAAGGACACCTGCCTGGATACTGCCGGTTCAACCTGACTGACACCACTCTTCTTGTTAATCATTGTGGCCAAGGATTATTTAAAAATATCTGATGTGATCCTTCTCATTTTTATCTTCAAAAACTTTCCCTTGCCTCAGCCTCTGCATACGCTCATAGTTCACTCCAGCACCCATATCCCACTGCTATGCTGGACTCTTCTTAATATCACTCTTCCTTGGAGAATCTGATGTTATTTCAGATGGATACTAGGTTGGGGCTCAGCATCCACCCACCTGTCATACTTATTGCAAGAGCAGATGCAGAAACAAGCCAGCTTTTGCATTTATTCTACAGATAAAATTGCTGTATTTGTTTAATAGGCAGTTTTCCTGGTAAATTCAGTAAAAGGAAATAAAAGCCCTCTGCACATATTGTGGGTCTGTTCATTTTTCAGATCCTTTTAAATGCTTTGGAACATATCATTTTCTTACATTAAGCAAGCTCAGTCCACTTAGGAAAAATAGGCACAGCAGCCTCCACCAAAACCACCCAAGAATAAATGCACAGTCTTCTTAGGTTCTCCTTCCTCTGCTTCCGAAATGAGGCCAATGACAAATTAAGACTCCCACACCGGGGCTTTCAAAATGACTTCATTACTGCTTGAGTTTCCTATAACCTTCAGCATTCAACTTCCTTATTTAAGATCCTCATAGAAGCCGGTTAACAAAGCCCAGGTATTTGAAAACTCTTGGGATTATGGTGGCTTCAGCCACTGGCATAGGGTGTGCTAAGGCCTCTGGGGTTCCACATCTTCCCCCTACCAACTGCTGGCAACTGCATTGCTGCTTATCATGCCGACAGCACCACGTAATCACATCTGCCCATTGCTGTAATCAAATCATGTGGTGAGCATGCTCCTTTTAACTGGCACTCAAACCACCCACCCAAGACACAACATGGGTTACCCAACAGCATAACTTCTTAGTGTAGACTCCACAATGAGAACATGGGTTTCCAGCAATTTTTGCATTGATTCTGAAAATCAATGTGTATTGAGACTTTATGTTTATAAGATGTTTTTCATGATCGATAGCTTAAAAGCAATGGGTGATTAATTCTTACACCGTAAATGCAAGGTTTTGAGTCACTAAATGAATTCATCAAAATGTTTACTAAGCAATGCAAAGATGATACATACTAACATTCTGAGAAAGTATAGTAAGCTCAATAGCTTGAGCTTGGATCAAAAATATTAGAAAATAGTACAATATACAAGTGGAAAAAAATATGAATTCAGTGTTCCCTAATAGATGGCTTATTAGAAAACCTCAAGCATTTTTCAAAAGAACTTGATGGGTTTTATTTTAATAAGACAGAGTGAAGAGGAAATGGCTTAAAAGATATCATCAATCTTTTATTTAACTAAGCACTGCCCTTCATTTTGAAGGAAATGATACAATTTCAAATTGGAACTTCCTTCTCAAGAAGTGGTATAAGAACATAACATTGATTTAACATACAACCTTCAACAAAAAATAAGGTTTATACAGTTTACTGGGAAATAAAATGCATAAGAAGTTCATCCTGTTAGTGTAATTCTCCATGGCTCACAAGAACAAAACAACATAATGAAAAATTGAATAAACCAGTCAAGTTACAGTTATCCTGATTAAAAAAAAAAAAAATTCACAAGTAAAATCTAACTTTCCAAACAAATCTTACGACTGTGATCACACAAGATTGTATTCTAATTTGTAAAAAATGGTTAGACAAGCACACAATATCAAGAGTCTTCAACACAGTGAATCCCATTAAGGAAAAAAAAAAAAAAAAAAAAAAGAAAGAAAGAAAAACAAGTAGTCCTTAAATTTTCTTAGCTCTCCATAGCATATGTCATATAAAATTAAAAGTTTTGCTTCCAAAAAATATGTTCCGTGTGGTTGTCGTGTGGTCCAATGGTGCTATTAGGGGCCGAAGCACCAGGGACACAAGAAGTATAACCACTGAAGTGTTTTTCTCATAAAAACTAAAAATTTTCTTAAAGGTCTGGAATAAAGTCTTCTGCTAGGCATTTTAGTGCTACAAAGTCATTTTAAATTAAATGTGGAATAAAAGCTACAAAAACTATGAGTTCTTTTAATATAAAAAGTTGTGTAGCTGAAGTTGTGGGCTTCTTTGACACACATAAGCAGTCTCAATAAAATATTTGCTCAGGTAAGAAAATAGAATTTGTCTGGTTTCATTTAGCCTACGTTCCAGTCGATGTCCTGCTTATCCCTGCCAGAGCTTCTGAGGAATATTGGAATCGATATTTCTTTCCTTCAAAGAGCATCCGTAATTCACAGTACAAAATAGTTTTAAAGTCTTATTCCTAAGGAGAAACAAAAATTATTAAATATATATATATAT